GAGTACACAACACCAACACAGAAAAAAAAATTCATATTACAAGAACACATTGGTATTGAAGGAACTAGATACTGTTCCGAAATATCACTTACTCGAACTGTCCTGACCGCGTAGCTCAGTTGGAAGAGCATTGGGCTAGTATTCCAAAGGTCGTAGGTTCGAATCCCACCGTGGTCGGGCATATTTTTCAAGCTCGCCCGGTGTGGATATACACTCAGAGTAACATCACAAATATCATATTCACCTGAGTACACAACACCAACACAGAAAAAATCATATTACAAGATTACACTGGTATCGAAGGAACTAGATTCTGTTCCGAAATATCACTTACTCGAACCGTCCTGACCGCGTAGCTCAGTTGGAAGAGCATTGGGCTAGTATTCCAAAGGTCGTAGGTTCGAATCCCACCGTGATCGGGCATATTTTTCAAGCTCGCCCGGTGTGGATATACACTCAGAGTAACATCACAAATATCATATGTACTCTCGTACAGATATTTTTTCGTGCACCATTTTTATTTTTTCGTTGTGGCAAAACTTAAAATTTGGTTAGTATTCACCGTCAAAATAACAAATTAAATCATATATACCTTGGCGTATATTTTCTTTTTACAGTGATATAAAAAAAACTAATTTTAAAAAATACAAAAAAGAAAAAAAAGAAAAAATATAGAACAAGATTTACATATTTTCGGTTCAGAAATGTTTATAAATAATTGTTTCGTGATTTAAGCGCATTACGGATGTCGCGCCAGCAACATTGCTTTTGCCAGAGCGTTTCCAGTCCCGGTTTTCTGGGTTGTCTATGGTGAATCAAATGCCGATAGCAATGCTTATGATAATTTATCTATTAACAAGTCCCCCTCTCTAATATGGCCCCTCCATTTAGATAAAGAAATGTATTAAATTAAAAAGACTCGAAAACGTCAGTTGCGTACGTCTGTTTACTTCTGTCAAATCTTCAGAAAGTTATACAGTTATATTGATCCAGACAGCATTTCTGACGAAATGTTTATCAAACAAGCTGTTGGGAAGTTTGCTTTGAATTTCAGGTTAATTTAGATTTAAGCTAACCAGCTTTCGAACAACTGTGTGTCCAGAATTTTGCAATGTGTAATAAATTGCGTTTCTTTGTCGTCTCCGCGCCCACCCCCAGTCTGTGGAATGGATTTCATATAGGAGAAATGTACGAGAAGTAGTAATTTTTATTATATGGACAATGGTGTTTTACTGGAAACTAAAACACTCGTAGAACTCATACGCGGACCAGAACTCCGGTACCAGATGCGCGTAATTTCCGTATTTCACGCTTGTAAGTGACGTACGAAGTTCGAAAATTTCCCGCCATTTTCATCGTTGTTGTTTTGAAAATACAAATTGTCGTTGGTTCGTATATAAAACAAAATTAACGTTCAAATAAAACGAAAACAGTTAAAAGACATCTTGAGATACTAAAATATATTCTAGTATTTATCCTCTATATCTCCCCCATTCTTCTGTTTCCTCTTTCGGCTGGAATTCATGCACAATGCTTCCACTTCAAATAAGATTAAGTTGTTACTTGCGGATCTGATAATTAAAATGTTATATTGCATTAGGCCTATATTAAAAAAGGTGAAATATCTTATCAATAAACAAATTATGTGTCTTTTAATGGCAGGATGTTAGGTTGGATGTCCAAACTACAATTGCAAACAGATTGAATGCATATTGTCACAATTCAGAGGCTGTAATTTGTCTTACTAATGGGTAGGTTTGTGAAGAGTGTTATTATAAATGTTGTATTAATACCCTGAGCCAACGAAGATACTAATTTCGCGACCGCGGCTATATGAAGGTATGGGTGTTTGCGCCCGGGTATAATTATGAAGGTAAGACAATAATCGCGAACAAATTGCAACTGTATTGAAATTAGTTTAAGCCGTTTTATGCCGCTTATTAACTAGAAATGATTTTAAACGTACTTCAAATTCGAACTTTTATATCTCGTTTATAGCTACTATTGCAAGAAAGTTCAAGTGTTACATGCCAAAATTCAAGTTAATATAATTATCATGAATATAATTAAAACGCGTTCCAAAGAATTTTGAACAGTTCCAAACTTGTGATTTTACGCACAGATTGAGGAAAATAACGAAAAGTCGCAGTCTCGTCATTTTTTTCAAGAATTTCGGACAGGCACATTTTGATTGTCTGCACAAACATCCGTTTTGTGGGTAGCCTATTTTCTGTTCATATTTTTTTATAATAGTTACAACGCTGTTTTCCTTTTCGCCCTTTTGTTGGCTTTTGATCTGCTCGATTGGTGTTGTAAATCATATATTGTGTTGGATCACAACAGCGATGTTTTACACAGGCAATCCCGTTGTTTATGTTTACGATGTAAATAGAGAGTCAACCAAATGGCAAATGTCGGTGTGCTTTGTGGTTTGGTCGTGTAATATGATTTGAATCTCCACCGTTTATATTTGTTTGAGTGATTAATACTTCTATTTGAAATGTGGAATCCAAGAGACAAGAGTTCAGTAGTTGTTCACAGTGTAATCTGTCAAAATGCTATGGACAGTAAAATTTTATGTGGTCCTAACAAAGCCTAATACATAAATTTTAGGAAGTGGATATTTGTCCGACATTTCCATAATCGTTAAAATAAAACAGCATAAATTTAATTGAATTTCAAGCAAATTCTTCGTAGTGTTGTAGTTTAGGCACCCGTATTGCGTGCGCCAAGTTCTGGGATCGATTCCTGCTCGCGCCATTATTTTTTTTTTTTTTTTACTTTTTTCTTCTTCGTGGTTTTCGCTTATACGCACCGCGTACGAAACGTATAACGTATAAAATATGTTGTTGCTTCGTTCTTAAGAAACAACGCAACCGTTTAGTGGTTTAGTGTTAGCTTTTAAAGCGTTGTCGGATGAATAGCCGTGAAGTAGGGAAGATCCGGTGTCGGACGAATATCCGCGGGGTAAATTTTATTTGTTCTTCATTACCGTAAATATTTGAATAATATATTAGTATAAAATTGCACTAGCTCCTTTAATAACGAAAATGACATTTAAAATTCTTGTGAACTAAACTATTAAAGGTCAAGGAATCTATCGCAAAGATAAATACTTTATCAAGTAGTAGCTATACTATTAGAGTATTACCATATTACATATATGTACAGAATAGGGACCCAAATTTCAAAATCGTCACGGGTACCTCTTTTTTGTATATGGTATAAGTAAGAGTTATAAACTGAGAATGTGGCATATTACAGTATATTTTACCCCAAACACAACAAATTTAACAATAAGTTAGAGTTATAAACCTAGAACGCGGCATATAAGAAGTCACATGATTTTACCCCAAACACAACACATTTAACAAGTATACCTGGGATATAAGTCATATATTTACCTGAGGGGCTGCAGGGCAAATATGTGACTTATATCCCAAGTTTGATGTTTATAACTGACTTATGTTCTAGTTGAGGAGGTTTTCGAACAAAATTTCAAAGACTGTCCAAAAATATTTTTCGACTTTTGTCAACAAGTTTAATCTAATTATTTATTCATGGGTTCTAACCTGTATACATCTCGCAGTATATGAAAGAAAACCGACTCAACTAGAAAATAATTTATATAGGCATATACACCTATATATATATATATATATATATATATATATATATATATATATATATATATATATATATATATATATATATATATATATATATATATATCGTTCTCCTAGCATTGCTTTATCACAGCTACTTGCTGCACTTCGTACCATTCATGAAGAAAATGTGTCTGCTCAAAGTATTGTTATTGGAGACTTTAATGTAAATTGGATGGTGGAATCTGAGCGACAGTCACTGTATAACCTCATGGTCTTAGAAAATAGCTACAGACAAATGATATCAAGTTTTACTACAGATAATATTACAGATTGGGGATAAAATTCATACTGGTGTTTTAGAGACATACTTTAGTGATCATAAAGCAATATGGGCCTCTCTCAAAACATAGAAGTAACAACTACATCCTTACTGCTAACATGGCTAAAATAGTACAGGTTAAGTTTTGTATACCTGAATTAATATTAAAGCAATGGTATAACTGTGTCCCATTAATCCAAAACAGAACTAACAAAACTATATATATTATGTATATCCTAATTTTAAATTAGAAATGCATGACTTTTTCTAACAGGTAAGCGTTCGTTTCTTCTTTTCTTCCCTTCTCTTCCCATTATCTTTTTTCTATGTGTTTTTATGTTAGTCTAATTTTCTGTTTTTAGACATGCCTACAATTCAATTACAACATTTCAAACTTGATTACGTTAACGATAGCTTCACATAACATTTCATAACATTCAACAAAGAGGTAAATATTTTTCACCAAACCCTATGTTAATAACTACTCCTTTCCACCAAGTAAAACATATATGGGATTCCAGGTAGCATTTTACTTTGGAAAACTTATGACCTTAACCCAACATTATTTTTTCAAAATATAGATAAACAAAGATTCAAAAAGAGGAACTTTTACTTTAATACAATGAAACGACAAACGCATACTGTACAACACCTTGGATGATATGGTAATAAGTGAAGTCACATAATGTATCAGGACACTAGCGATAAAATTGGATAATATGCAATATGATCAGAACTTTTTCAAATATACAATCTTGTCATGAAGAAATACTGTATGGATATTCAATACAACAAGTACAGCAGAGTTATTTACTTACTGATGACGCTGTTGTTGGTGGAACCAAAAATTGAGATAATATTGTTGAAATAGTGGCAACTACAATCATTATGGTATCAAAACAACAAGAAAAATGTTTCATGAACTCTGTTCAAAGTCAGCGGTACAGTAAACGCCAGCAATCTTTAACTGGATGTTTGTGACATAAATCTTTACAACTGAAATGTTTACAATGGATGACTGGATTATTTGACATGCTCGTAAAAAAGCGTGCTAATATGGACAAACTTTAGAAATGCCATTTGTCCTATTATTAATATAGTTAAATGAATGAACATAGTAAATGAATGAACTCACTGTTTTGAACAATTAAAGTCAAATTCTTCCTCAGTTAAATTATTAAAGTACCATTGCTATCAAGAATTAATTGCAATGTACGCATTATCAAAAATATATGTATATTTATAATACTTCTGGATCTGTCTACTAGTTTCATAGCCTGCTCAGTTTGTATCTATTTTTTATCTAGCTTTCGGCTACCCACATGTACGCAATGCGTACCTATTTTTAGTTAATTTAAAGAGCAAAGTTCGCTTCGGCACGTTCAATAGTTTCGTTTTTATGAAAACAAAAAATGATACCCTTTATTTAAACATTCGCTGTTGCTAAATGCAAAACAGTTCTAATTATCTAATAAATCGTCTTTGGGTTTTT